TTTCGCGGCAGGCGCAGCACTTTGTGAGCCTCCATGTGCAGATTTCGGGGCGCAGGACTTTGTGAACCTCCATGTGCAGATTTCGTGGCAGGCACAGCGCTTTGTGTGCAGATTTCGTGGCAGGCACAGCGCTTTTTGAACCTCGAGGCACAGATTTCGTGGCAGGCACAGCATGTGGGGAGCTGGAAGATGAGAACTTAGTATGCGGAGCAATCTGTGCAGCTGGAAGCTGAGAACTTAGTGCAACTTTAGCACGCGGAGTATCTGGCGAGCTGGAAGACGAGAACTTGCGACTTTGTAGTACAACTTTAGTACGCGGAGTATCTGGCGAGCTGGAAGATGAGAACTGGCGACTTTGTACTAGCTGAGAACTGGCGACTTTGTAGTACAACTTTAGTACGCGGAGTATCTGGGGAGCTGGAAGATGAGAACTGGCGACTTTCTAGTGCAACTTTAGTACGCGGAGCAATCTGTGGAGCTGGAAGCTGAGAACTGGCGACTTTGTAGTGCAATTTTAGTACGCGGAGTATCTGGGGAGCTGGAAGATGAGAACTGGCGACGTTGTAGTACAACTTTAGTACGCGAGTGTCTGGGGAGCTGGAAGATGAGAACTGGCGACTTTGTAGTGCAACTTTAGTACGCGGAGCAATCTGTGGAGCTGGAAGCTGAGAATTGGCGACTTTGTAGTACAACTTTAGTACGCGGAGTATCTTGCGAGCTGGAGGATGAGAACTGGCGACTTTGTAGTGCAACTTTAGTACGCGGAGTATCTGGGGAGCTGGAAGATGAGAACTGGCGACTTTGTAGTACAACTTTAGTACGCGGAGCAATCTGTGTCATCTCTCGCGGCTGCTCTGGCGCCCCTGCAGCTGGGTCATGTCTCCCGACCACCCGGCTTTTTTGAGAGGTTGACAAATTTTAGCTACTTTGCTTACTCAAAAGCGCTCATTTCGATTACTTTCTGGAGACCTCACAACACATGTTTTGAGAGGTTGACAAATTTGAGCTAATTAGCTTCGTGTCTAGACAAGCTATCACATCATAGTAGCTCCAGTTGGCTTTAGTGGAGCTAGAGCTAGAGCTATGCTTCACTCATCACTCATCATCATCATTTGCTCTAGTTTCAATAGCTCTAGCTCCAGTTAGCTCTAGCAGTTCTGACTGAGGGACACGAGGGACACGCATGGTGGAAAGAACCGGGACACTCCTATAGGTCAATTTGTTTTTATAGGAAACGCCGCCGGCTTGCCCGGGAACTGCTTGTAGTGTCCTTGCTCCTAGTAGCGATGCCGGGAGCCCCTAGTAGCGTCCTTGCTCCTAGATCTAGTTCAATAGATTCTAATTTTTAAATCGATTCAATTCTAATTTAGTTTAGTTCTACTTTAATTTGATTTTAATTGAATTCAATTCTGATTTAATGTAGCTTATTTCAAATTTAATGTAAGTCAATTCAAACAAATTAAAATTTCTAATCTGTTTCGAATTTAAATGATTTCAAATCTAGTTTAGTTCTTATCCAATTTTAATTCTTTTCAAACTTCTAATTTAATGTAGTTCTAATTTAGCTTAAGTCTAATTTGAATTAATTCTATTTTAGTTTAATTTCATACTAGTTTGTTTTATTTCTGATTTGCTTTAACTTTAGTGTAATTTAATCCAAACTTAATTTAGTTCTAATTTAGTTTAATTCTAGTTTAAATTAATCCAGTTCTAATTTAATTCAATTTCATTCTAATTCAATTTATTTTAATTCTAGTTCAATTTGATTCTAATCTAATTTCATTTAATTCAAGTTTATTTTAGTTCAAACCTAATTTAATTCTAATTTGATTTAGTTCTAGTTTAGTTTAATCCAGCTTTAATTTAGTTCTAATTGAGTTTAATGCTAATTCAATTTAGTTCAATTCTAATTCAATTTATTCTAGTTCAATTTTAATTTAAGCTAATTCTAATTTAACTTAATTTCATTCTAACTTAACCTAATTCTAAATTTGATTTAATTTAGCTTCAAAGACCTCCTAGTAGCGTCCTTGCTCCTAGTAGTACGGCCAGGAGCCCCTAGTAGCGTCCTTGCTCCTAGTAGCGATGCCAGGAGCCCCTAGTAGCTTCTTTTTCCAAAACTGCAAAAGCACAGGTCACTGGAGTCACTGTCGTGACACCTTCGGGAGTCGCTCGGGCGACAAATCAGCAGCGCAACACTCAGAGACTCAGTGCGAGTGCGACTGCTACGGAGTCATGGCATTAAAAAAACAAATTAACATATGGCAAACGTTAGCGATGGCCTCCATCCTAGAAGCAATGGCCTCCAACCTACTAGTTCAGACTCAAATCTTCAGCTGCGACGGAGTCATGTGAACTTCGGTCATGCTAGGCTTGAAGTCACATGTGATCCCTGTTCCAAGCTGAGTGAAGGTTGCAAACTGGAAGCCAAGTGATTGCGGAGTGTGAAATGACGTGAAATGTGTGACAGCAACTTTAGGTTCTACAAGTACTATGCTATATTTGACCTCTACATCATGCCAAGATCGGCGTGCTTGCTTGGCTCTCTGGGCAAGCACAGGGGCATGTATGGGCATGTTGTGGCGAGAGTCGACGCCAGGCAACACCTTAATAACCAATGGAGATCCAGGAGAAGAAGCGAAGGGAGCTGGGAGACCTTTTGTTTTTTTATTATGTTTCGTTTATTTTTCCGTGTTTTTTTTCTTACCTTTTTTTCAATCTGTTCTTTTACCTTTTGCTGACCTAAGGAGCTTTCTTATCATTGCACTTCTCATTCTTTTCTTTCTTCCGTTTTGATGAAAGAACGCATTCCAAAGGTCCTTTGGGTCTACGAATTTTCTCTTGCAGGAGTCCCCTCTGGAGAAGACATTCAGCGCCAAACTATTGCGACAGCAGTAGCTGCACGGGGCACAGTGCCATGATCAGAACAACACGTGAGACAATTGCTTTCCTCCATGCTGTTTTGCACATCGAAGTTGGTTGAATTGAACAAACACAGAGACGTTTCTTTGTTCATTTGCTTCTTGCTTGCTCCGTGCTTTCTCTTTCTGGCATTTTGCATGCCATTCGCTTTTGCGTTTGGTTTGTTCAAGGCCGGAACAGCGGCCAATTTGTGGACTTGGACAGTAGATGTTGGGGTCTGAAAGACATCTCAAAGCGACGTGACAACGTCTTTCAGTGACAGACGTTGAACATCTCTTTGTTCTTTTTCGTCATCAGCTAGCTTCTTGTTTCTACTAGCTTCTTGTTACTACTAGTAAGGCACTTGTTACTAGAAGCGATGCACTTGTTCCTAGTAGCTTATTGTTTCTACAGGTATTATCTCGGATGTACATGTTCAAGTGCTTCGGCACAAAGTGACATATCAGGCGACAAATCTGGCTCCAGGACGCCAATTCCATTTGTGCCTGGTGCACAGTTTGCTATTCGGGGCAATTGCCCTCAACTTGTTCCTTTCAGCAAAAGAAGGCTTTTAGGAGCAAGGACGCTACTAGGGGCATTGAGAACCTCCTGGTTCGTGTAAGATCCGAGGTGCTGATGTCGATGGCACTGGGTTTACTTGGCTCGCATTGACGTGACAAATCAGTTCCACTTCACTCAGCACACCTTAAGACACAGTACCCAGCTTTTGTTGGAGAACAAGTCTCAGCATTGAGCTTTGCAAAGTATTTCTTGTTCCATGGAAGCCTTATTTTTCCTTGCCAGGACATATCCCTTCGGTGACACAGCTCTTCAGATCTACACCTCTCCCTTCAGTGAGGCAAAAGAGACATATGTGGTGACATTTCTTTTCTGCATTCAACCACGAAGGTCGTTACCAAAGGCATCAACGTTGCGGAGCTTCAGACGGTGGCCAAGCGATAAGTCACCGAAGACACAGACAAAATGAAACAAGACAAGTAGAGAACAACAGGAAACCGATCCACTGCTCACTATAACCTAATAGCTATTAGAAACAAGTGCCACGCTACTAGTAACAAGTGCCTTACTAGTAGTAACAAGAAGCTATTAGAATTAAACTTAAATTAAATTAATAGCTTTTTGTTACTACTAGTAAGGCACTTGTTACTACTAGCGTGGCACTTGTTACTAGTAGAGAACAACAGTAAACCGATCCACTGCTCACTAGAACCTAATAGCGATGGCCTCCAACCTACTTAGTAGCCTCCAACCTAAATTGTTTTTCTTTCTCAGATTCCCTGTGTCACCAATCAAGATATCAACAAAGGCTTTGGTTCTCTGGCTGCATCAGCTTCGTGCAGTGACATGTATAATCCGAAGCTGACAGGTTTATGTGCGATGTTCGACGGGCTGCAGTGAAACTGGTCGTGGTTTTGCCAGCATGATTCGGAGCTTCCTACTGTCTGAGGAGAGCAGAGATATATTTTCCATCCTGCCTTACTCAACACAACAACACTAGAATACATTGAAGCCACACAAACTTGCACCGAAGAGTATGTGCTTAGCAACATGTTTGACAAGATTCTTCCACGGTTTTTGATCTCTTTGCGCCAGCTTACCTTGCTTTGCGATCGATTACGCCTTCGAACCTCTTTGTCAAGGAATGCGACAGGCCACAGATTTGTGCCCAATGTTGCAGAAGTCCCTGATGTTTAGATTACAATCTAGTGGAGCTACTAATAGCTTCTTGTTCCTAGCAGTAAGGTTAGGAGCTACTAGTAGCGTCCTTGCTCCTAGTAGCGATGCCCTTTGCTCCTAGTAGCGATGCCCTTTGCTCCTAGTAGCGATGCCCTTTGCTCCTAGAAGTCCCTTGGACTCATCAGACTTTTGTGTTTTGCTCTTATGTGTTTTGTCTTCGCATCTTTTAAAAAAGAAGTGATGCACGTGTTTCTACTAGCTTCTTGTTACTACTAGTAAGGCACTTGTTACTAGAAGCGATGCACTTGTTCCTAGTAACTTCTTGTTTCTACTAGCTTCTTGTTACTACTAGTAAGGCACTTGTT